CTCTGTTGACGTTCCGAATCCTCGCATAGATCGTGACTTCTATTTGAAAAGAAATTTTTCCATTCGATGGTGTAATGGAAGAGAGAATGAGAGGGAGATGGCCGTCTTCCACGGTCCCTCTCTCTCATCCCTATCAATCATTTTGACACACGGATCGCGCAGTCCATTCTCTAAGGCGAGAAATACACACTTTTGCGTAACGCATAAAGCATGTGCATAAGGGATTTCATTGGCCCATTTTCTTATGCATGAGTCAATGGACCAATCAAATTCTTTATGTATATGGTTTATGCGTTATGCAAAAGTCTGTGCACCCCGCTTATGTCTTTGGCCTGATCGGTGAGCGTATTCGCACGTTCAGTGAGCGGACGCAATTTCTCTGAGCAAATTTCAAGTACGCTCAGGGTGCAAACCCATGTAGCGGAATAGCGTAACGCGGAACGAGAGCAGAACCAATAACGAGCATTCCGTGTTTCTAGAGAATCTCGTGATTGGTTCTACTCTCGTTCCGCGTTACACTATTCTGCTGCATGGGTTTGCACCCGCAGTGAGCGCAATGTGCTGCAGACTTGGTGGAATTTGGATATTTTTATGAAAATGTCGAACGTATACGAGAAAATGTACACGTACAATAATGCATTATATAAAATTACTGATATTGCCGCAGTACATAGTTCATTTTTCTCGGCATGGCTGCCTACAATATGTAGCGCTTATTAACACGATAAAGACAATACCAGCTGGGGTGCGTTCCAAAACTTGACTCTTCAACTCCGAGTATGTTTTATCTTTGTTGTTCATTGAATGATGAACAAGGATAAAAGATACTCGGAGTTGACAGAGTCAAGTTTTGGAACGCACCCCTGCTAGTCATCGAGTATTTTCTTCAATTATCGCCGTGTCTTTCTTCATTATTAAGGGTCAACAGGAGTGACAGAAATATTTTGTTATGCCATTTTACAAAAAAAAAATAGCTCTGTACGAGCCTTCAGGAGCCCTTTCTGATTACGAATATCACAATCAAAATACGATTCATGTTATATTTTAGCCATAATTTGGGAATAAAGGTAACATTTATGAGTGCAGATCAGTGCAGATCTAGATCAGTTATGCTCATTTTTCTTCTCAAAGAAATAAAATTTCCTTATGAAACCTGTTGGGATTTCATTGTTATATTGCTGGGAAGGCTCGTACAGAGTCAGATTTGCAAATTAATTCTTGAAAATTTTTATTAAAATAAAATCATGTATACACCTCTCAACTGCACCATAGTACACATCGAGTGAGATAACAGAACAAATTTTTATTATGCCTTTTTTCCAAGAAATAGCTCTGTACGAGCCTTCAGGAGCCTTTCCTGATTACGAATATCGCAATTAAAACGTGATCCATCCAGTATTTTAGCCATAATTTGGGAATAAAAAATTCATCTTCGACTAGAGGTCTCTGGGTCACTCCTGTCGACCCTTAATAATATTACATTAATAATGAAGGAAGACACTGCGATACCCGTAAATCTTCTGGTATAATTGAGAATATAGGTTATATAAGTATGTTGTTTGCCGCGTTATTATGATCAAGTATAAGTTGTAGGTAAAATAATGTCATGAAAATTAATTAATTTAATGTGCGATTTTTATTCATTTCGGTTACACCAGGTTACACTAACATCGGCTATGTTGAATGTGCGTTAATATTACTTTCTGCTTAAAATGTTTGGGGAGCTTACTAACGTTATCGTGCTATTGGCTTCCCAAACAGAGTTTGTAGCGTTTGCGTCTGTAGCATTTATAGTATCTCCTCGAATGCACCCTATGGGCTTGTAGGGACTTGACACATTGATTGGACAACTCGTCCGTATGAGGATTCACTTTAAAGGAACTAGGCTGATATAGGCCAATGAAATATAACGTTCGGCGCGCGCAAGCCAACTACCTTACTTTACCTTACTTGAGAACTTATCTTTTGACTATTCTTAATTTTTGATAACCGTTATTATTATTCTTGGTATAAAAAGTATTTTCTGGATTAATAAAACTTCTTTAACGATAAAGGAACACGTCTCTTTTCTTTGTGACATTAACTCGCTTACGAATAAGTACTCTACAGGCTGCGCTCGAAAACGTCCTCTGCCGGCGCAAGTGAGGTGACTTAGGGTAGAGTCCTAGATATCAGAAAAGCGCAACCGACTTAAGTCAGTATCGCAAAATTACTAAGAAAAGTAATAAAAATGGCGTCGTTTGCAGACGAAATATGAAATCCTCCAATCGTCTATTAGTCAGCCATTTTTAATACCACTGAATGAATGTCATGATTGGCTGACAATCAGCTAATCAGGACGCGGAACATCGGTTGCGCTTCTCTGATATCTAGGACTCTTATAACTTAGAGATGCGTTGGTGGGCGTAATGGGGAATTTAGAGAACTGTTGGTTTTCGAACGACTACCAAAATATCAAATGTACAAATTCAAAATGGATAGTGTTGAGTTACGTCGAAAACGTTTAATTTCTGTAGCTGTAAATACTAGCGACGAGTTCTTAAAGTCTAATTTAAATATAATGAATGATAGCGAGACAGACGAGGAAATATAAGATATTATTTTTCGGACAAAATATCAGCATAGCCATGCATTGCGTGGGCCACGAAAGAAGCTATTGCGTATCTTAGATTACGTAGACAGAACCGTTCCAGGCCTAACAGCAAAGCAATTTCGTGAATATTTTCGCATGATTCCTGACACGTATGAGATTTTAGAAGCAAAATTAAGTTTGTTTAACTGTGGTCTAGTTTCCACCCAAGCATTAATTCGCACCTAATGCGGCGTAGAACCAAATTTAACTCGATGGAAATACGTTTGGCTCTGCTTGTTAAGTGCTCTCCCTGTGAGAGCCGGTGCTATGCACAAGTTTTTTTGTTGCTGTTTATTTCCTTGGATAAATGAGTGGACTGTATCTCGTAGGATGAATAATCCTTTAATGAGTATAATGAATTTCTGGTACAAGGTTCTTTGTTCACAACTTTACGTACGTTACGCTTCTTCGCCATATACAACACACTACACCGCACGCAACTAGCGAACTGCCAAGTTGGCAAAGAAGATCGCAGTGCTATCGATCCTACACATATCCAGCGCCAAATTTAATATTTAACAAAATCTGTGGTCTTTTTTACTTAAAACTAAAAAATATAAAATATACTCGAACATGCCGCGCGCCTTGATGACCCGTGGTTATCAACAATGCGAATTGTAACTTAACTAAATCGCAACGCTAATACATATTAATGAACTTATAAACTAATATCTGATAATAAACATAGCATCTAAACATTTTCCGCATCGGCCTCGTAATCGTTTATTGGCAGCACGCATAATTTCACAGCTGGCCTTTTATATTCTCCATTGGCGGTCTTAACTATCGCTGTTCTTACTATTCTATCATCGCCCGGCATCACCTCTTGTATTCGCCCAAGGGCCCATTTCAACGGAGGTAAATTTTCCTCTCGACACAAGACCAATTGGCCGACTTTTATCTGCTGGCCAGCATTCGACATCCATTTATTGCGCCGCTGCAGATTAAGTAAATATTCGGAAGACCATTTCTTTCAAAAATCCTGCCTTATTTTCTCCAACATTTGCCATCGGGACAACCGATTAACCTTTGTCTCGGTAATGTCTGGCTCAGGATACGATGTTAATGTGTCACCTATTAAAAAATGACCTGGGGACAAATAACTAACATCATTAGGATCTTCAGATAAGGCAGTCAGTGGACGCGAATTTAATATCGCCTCTATTTGGACCACGAGAGTAGACGCCTCGTCGAACGTCATTGCCGCTTCAGTAGTCATCTTGTAAAAGTAATTTTTGAAAGACTTGACCGTGGACTCCCATAAACCTCCAAAATGGGGAGCTCTGGGTGGCATGAAATGCCATTTGATTCCTTCAGGAGATATATGGTCTATAATACTCCTTCTGGATTGCTCTGAATGAAAAATGCTTTTATCCTTCTCTAACACAGCGTTTGCTCCAATGAAATTAGTACCATTATCAGAGTACATATTCGTAGGTTTTCCTCTGCGAGCAATAAACCTTTTAAATGCATTAAGAAACGCATCCGTGGATAAATCTGAAACAACCTCAAAATGAACTGCTTTAACAGTCATACAAACAAAAATTGCTACATAAGCCTTAATACGCTTAGCTCCTCGTCTCCTGCCCTCGCGTATATATATAGGACCGCAAAAATCCACCCCAGTATTCGAAAATGGTTTTGAAAGATTTACCCTACTACTAGGTAAGTCACCCATCATGGGCTCAGTAATGCGCGGTCTATACCTAAAACACTTGACGCATTCGCGTATTAATTTCTTGGTAATACTTCTTCCCTTAATCGGCCAATATGCTCTTCTAACCGCAGCTAGCGTAGCCTCCGCACCCGCGTGATCATGTCTTATGTGCTCATGTAATATAATCAACTTTGTAAATTTCGAGCACTGAGGTAGTACTATCGGATGCTTAGTGCCGTAAGATAAGTCAGCGCGTTTCAACCTGCCACCAACGCGCAATATGCCCTCATCATCTACTAGAGGATTCAAATGTCTTAGACTACTGCTAACTGATATTGCCCTGCCTTTGCGCAATGCACTAAGTTCTGACTCAAAAGCCGATAGCTGTTCTGCTTTAATTATGCATTTTGCTGCATATTCCAACTCCTCGGCAGATAATGGTTGCGTGGCCTTTACACCCTCTGATCTTTTACAAAGTCGAACAAATTTTATGCACGTCGCCGTAACTCGTGTTAACCTCTGCAATGTGGAAAATCTGTCCACGAGACTCAATTCTGGGTGTTTAGTCGTCAACAGCATGACTGGCTCCATTGATTGCATAGTCTGCATTTCTTTATAATCTTCCCAACTCAATCGAGTGTCGATCCGCGCTTGATCCTTTAGCCATTCAGGCCCGTTCCACCATAACCGCGCGCCGTGTAGTTCTTTAACTCCTGAGCCGCGGGAAGCTAAATCGGCAGGGTTATCTCTTGTCCCTACGTGATTCCAGGCATCCACCGATGTTAATTCGTGTATCTCTCCCACTCGATGTGCCACGAACACCGGAAGCTTCTTATTGGTGGCCTTGATCCAATGAAGAACAATCGACGCGTCCGTCCAACAATGTATACTATTTATCTTGACATCCAATGATGCTTTAACTTTACTCATCAACTGAGCTAATAGTTGCGCCCCACATAACTCTAATCTTGGGATTGATACTGCCTTGAGAGGTGCTATTCTAGTCTTCGCACATAGTAGATGAACTTGCACCATGCCATTTTTATCCAAACTTCTTACGTAAATGCAAGCCCCGTAGGCTTTCTCGCTGGCATCGCAAAATCCGTGAAGCTGGATCCCTGCTTCCACATCGTCTTCTAGAATATGCCTCTGCACCGAAAAGTTTTTTAAGGACTGCATATCTGATATAATTGAGCCACTTCGTATGAATATCTGTGGGCACGGATTCGTCCCATTCTAATTGTAATTTCCAGACTTCCTGTATCCACAACTTGACCACCAAAATTATAGGTGCCAGCAGACCGAGCGGGTCAAATATCTGCGATATATTTGACAACATCATCCTTTTGGTACAAATCACGGAGCCGGCCGCCTTGATCGAATATTGAAATATGTCTTTCAGACGATGCCATTTAATGCCCAACGTTTTGGCAGAATGCTCTTTATTCAATTCTAAAATGATGTCCTCGCTTACACTACCTGGAATGTCTCTGATTAAATCCGAATTGTTGGAAGCCCATTTTCGGAGAACGAATCCTCCTTCTCGCAATAATGCTGCAACTTGGTTCCGAATTAAGAGCGCCTCTTCCTTTGTATTTGCGCCTGTCAACAGGTCGTCCATATAAAAATCCCTTCGCGCGATTGTCAATCCTAGCGGATATTGATTTTCTTTTAGCTTAGCCAATTGATGAATGACTTTCGTGGCTAAAAACGAAGCCGGAGCAGTTCCATATGTAAGAGTTAGCAACTCATACGTCTTAATTTCTTCCATTGCGCTGTCTCGCCACACAATGCGCTGCAACGCTGTTTGATTTTCGTTGACGAGTATTTGACGGTACATTTTTGCTATGTCCGCCGTTATAGCATACTTGAACGTTCGGAATCTCATTAGTATTGAGGAGATATCCTCCTGCAAGACAGGACCCGTCATTAGTGCTTCATTCAGCGACACTTCTTCAGATCCTCTGCTTGACGCATCGAAGACCATTCTTAATTTTGTGGTCGTGCTCTCCTCTTTGATTACGCAATGATGCGGTAAATAAAACTGCGGCTGCTGATCTCAACGCATGCTGTGCCGTTGGATCTCCTTCATGTGATTCAGCTCGATGTATTCGTGAATGAACTTCGAGTATTCTTATTTTAAACTTGACTGCTTCTCAAATCTTCTCTCCAAGTTTTTAAATCGTCGGATAGCGATATCACGTGAATCTCCCAGTTTTCGTAGACGCTCGTCCTTTGTTGGTAAAGAGACGATAAATCGCCCTTCATCATTTCTTCTGTATGTTTTAATAAATTGCTCTTCGCAAACACGCTCTTCTGGTGAACGAGTATCTTTACGTTCATTGCTTTCCAATTGCCAAAATCGCTTAAGATTTAAATTCAACTGTTCATTGGTTACCAAATTGCATGTTGTTCCATTCTGCTTGCCATCAGGAATCAGCAGATTACCAGACACCACCCAGCCAAATAGGGTTTTTTGCCATGTCGGTTGCGCCGGAGCTAACTTAATTCTTCCGATGCACAACAATTCTAGAAATATTTCCGCCCCTAATAGCATGTCAACTTTTGAAGCCTTGTGAAATTCAGCCAATTCAATCCCCTTCGGAATTTGCACTTCGTTCATTTGAATTGAGTTTGTGGGTAAAGCTTGAGTAATATTCTTCACCACCAGAAAGTTCAGATTCACTTGAAAATTATTAATCCTTGAGGATATCGATATTCGAGCTGCTTTTCTCGTTTCAGTTGACATTCCTCCTAGTCCGCAGATCGGTATGTTTGTAGAATATTGCCTAAGCGCTAGCCTTCTAGCACAATCATTAGTCACAAAGCAAGACTGTGACCCGCTATCCAGTAATGCTCGACAAAGAACCGCATTACCCTTGATGTCCATAACCTTAACGATTGCAGTCGCCAAAAGTACTTGCTTGTTTATTCTGGTTGCATTTGCATCACTTACTATCGTTGCTACTACCTTTTCTTGAGCATTCGTACTTGACTCGTTTGGGACCGCTACAGAATTCTTTGATGGGGTCTGTTCCCAATGGAGCAACGTGTTGTGTCTCTTCTTGCACTTACGACATGGGCCCAGGGTACACTGCTTGGCCAAATGCGATGTATCCCTCAAGCAATTTAGGCATAACTTTCGAGACCTTGCTTCCTTGACTCTTTCGTTAACCTCTAATTTCAAATATTCATAACACTTATATATGACGTGGCCTTCCTTTAAGCAAAAGGCGCACTTATTATTATCAATAGCCAGATTTACCGCGGCGGCTTTACTGCTACCGCCTTTATCATGGCTTGCTGAAACCGTTGGTCTAATCATTCGACTGGAAGCTTCCAGCGCCTTACTATGCTGAGCGAGGAAGTCAGTTAGCTGCTTAAGCGTTGGCACTTCTCCTTTCTTGACTGTAACCTCCCAGGCTCTACTTGTTTTTTGATCTAGTCGACTGGTTACTAAATAAACTATTAGATCGTCCCAATGTTCGGTGGGCCTCTTCAAGGCTTTTAGCGCCCGCAAATGCTTTAGGACGTCGTCTAATAAGCGCCTTATTAACAGATGATTCTCTTTGGGAATAACCGAAATCTCAAATAGTGCCTTGATGTGTTTTTGTATTATCCAACCAGAATCATCGTATCTTTCTTTGAGCATCTCCCATGCCTCGACATAATTTTCGTCCGAAACCTCTAGAGATCCAATGACATCTCGCGCCTCCCCTTTCAAGACCGATATCAAATATTGCATTTTCTGCACCTCTGGCAATGCTATGTTGCTATCAATCATGCTTTGGAACATATTCCTGAATGGAATCCATTCATCGAACGCACCTGAAAACGTAGGAAGATTTACTCGTGGTAATTTTAAATGCTCAGTGGCAACGCTACTTTCTTGTGCGAATGGCGTTCCACCCCTCGAGCCTCGTGTAACCTGCGCTAAATTAGGAGACTGAGCTGTCAACTTTCTCTCGATTAAAGTTTCCAACCCAGCTGCGATAGAGAAATATCTGTCCTCGAATATATTTCTTTCTTCATTGTGATTGTCAACATGCTCCGGTGCGTTCTCAATCTCCTCAATTGCCGCTTGCACCGAACTGAAATTACCCCAAGTTTCTTTGACCTTGTTTAATCCTTGACGCAGCTCTGACACTGACGTTTGTTCGAGATCCACGCCTTCTAAATATGAGCCGAACATCGTGCATTGAGCCTTTATTTGCGCGCGCTTTATTTTCCACGATCTGACTTGCTCGTCTGTCGCGCCCGAACCACCGCCTGCGTTGTCAATCATCGCGATTCGTACTATTCAATTTACCAAAATGTATTCTTAATGTCTAACCTACAAACGCTTTCGTAACGACAGTTTATCTTTATTGCGCTCAATCACGCGCTGACTTACACGCCACCAAATTCACCGATTCGCAATATGCTCACGCGATCACGTTCTCTTTGCCTATTAAGAAGCGAGAAATATTACCACAATGCAAATGACGTCACTTATAACTATACGTCATACCTTTGTCCGAACGCGTCTTTGCGTCGGCTATATATCCTTGCGTCTTACCAATACTTAACCTCGACTTTAACTGCCGTTGTAATAATGAAATGCGCTATTCGAATGCCTCTTACAATAACGCTGACAAAATGAATTATTTTTGTCCCTTATAGTCAAAAATTCCGTTGAACGTTTTGCACGCGAACCTGTATCCGGCTCGAAGGATCATGTTAAGTGCTCTCCCTGTGAGAGCCGGTGCTATGCACAAGTTTTTTTGTTGCTGTTTATTTCCTTGGATAAATGAGTGGGCTGTATCTCGTAGGATGAATAATCCTTTAATGAGTATAATGAATTTCTGGTACAAGGTTGTTCCGGATTATCCGTGGCATTATAGATTCAATTGAAAAACGTTTCTAGACGTCTCTTCGAGGGCATACGTATGTCCCTTTTGTTTTGCTCAGATAAATTTGGTACACGACGATCGTGCGTGACCAAAGCCATATTCCGCGATTCTGTAGGCTGTCGGCTCCTTATTGGACGCGCGGCAAACATGCTATAATTTCGCGCGTTGATAGGCTGATTAGCGAAAAGCCCGCAATTCCTTGCGGCGCATACCTTTCCGCGGATTTAGGCAGTGCGAGAGAAGAGACCTTACGCGACGGTCGTGTGTTCGCTAAATTCGTCACAGCACGTGTATTCGTAGGAGAAATAAAGTTAACTTGTGTCTGCATACGGCGAGTTATTCGATGCCCTCGAGAAACCCAGATCCCGCAATCCTTCCGATTAAAGATATTGCTCCGAAAAAAAAAGGAGCGTGAACATTAATCGCAGTAACA